CAGTGATGCCCAACCTTTTTTCCTCGGCGGGCCACTTTGGTAAACATTTGTAATCGAGCGGGCCACCAAATATAAAAGTACTCATAATCTCAATCTTAATACAATTTAGTTAGGTACACATAGTAGGTTGCAATATAAAAACATTTTTATATACTTTTTATTTTTATTTTTGTATTTTTTATTTATAAATTAATTAAAATCGTATTTTGTAATAATTTTACTTTTTTTGGAATATTTTGTTTTATTTTAATAATTTGTAACGGGCCACATGGAATACCTTGGCGGGCCACATGTGGCCCACGGGCCGCGGGTTGGGCATGACTGTTCTATAATATGTGATGTCTTATGTCTATAGGTTCTACCTATATGACCGCATGGGGATCAAGCAAGGTGCAAACAGTTCATCCCCATGAGGTACCAAAAACAACAAAAAAAGTGTACCTATATACTAACAACATTTGTGGAAAAGAAAAAATCCGTGAAAATGTAGCTTATACAGAAATGACAAGAAAAGGAAATATAATGGTCGTTTGGACAGCAACAAATATTGCAGGTTAGATTAATAATAATATTTACTTGAATATTTAGTAGTACCTATAGGTATTTGCATTATTCGATTTTACTACGTACTTACAATATTGGTAGACATGAATACATGATGGTACTATATGATAAACAGATTAATTCTATTTTCTGGTTTGAAGCCTAAAAGATAATATTGTAGTAATAAGTAATGATTATAATATTTAATATACTTATAATATAAATATATATATTTTTTTTATTTAAACTTTGTGGATACAAATATACAATTAGTTTCAACAGATATAAATATTATACCCATGTATTTATACACATAATTCACTATTTATTTTGTACAATATTCATCATTCTTTCGTAATTTCTGGGGGGGGGGGGGGTTGAAAGACCATATATTTTATCGCTAATTCCGAGTGCTTGTAATGAATTTATTATTACAGAAGTTAGGTTTTAACCAGTTGTACTGTGAACCGGCACAAATTGTGAAAAGTCTTCAAGTAAAACATAATTAATAGTATCAGTTGTCTCTACTGAATCTAGATAGGTATCTAATACAAAGAGTCAATTGCTCTATGCGTGATATGTCGGCAGTTTCGTCAACAACAATCGAAAACGACTTCGCCGCATTAATTTTACGAACTAAATTATCTTGAATTATTTTCCCGCAAATCGTAATAAAATTATTTTGTATTTTAGGACTGATGTACATAGTGTTTAAAGACTGATTTTCAATATCATTAATTAAATGTTTGTCTTCACATGCAAGTCACAACAGTGCTCTAAAAATATGTTTGTCATTTCAAACAAATTAATTAAAAATTATACATAAATTAGTACCTAATTAAAATTGTAATTGTTGTAAATCGTAGAACGTAGACATTAGACTAAAATAAATGTCGACTAAATGTTGAAAATGAATATTACCCGTGAAAAAGGTTTTAACTAATATCATAATATTATGACATGTAATATTAACTATTAAGATAAGATTACTAAAGTACTAAGAACTAGTTCTGTATCGATTGCACATTTTGGTGGTAATGTATTATATTATATATAATAATATCAAGATATCCAATTAATACACCCGTAGCGAATTTATTAGGTATTGTTATTTATAAATTATAAGTTTATAACGTAGACTATAGCTGTCATTCGTATATGCACGAGATTACGGGAGTGCATAAAGCAATATTGACTGTCTGTGTACCTATAGGTATAGATGTAATGTTTATAGTTATTCAAAATAAGCTATAAAAACCAAGCATATTATTATTATATTTATTTATTTGACCCCCCCCCCCAGATACGGCCTTGCATACACATATAGTGATGAATCAGACGTGTGGTTTCAAGTGATAAATTAATAATAATTATTGTATAATAATATACGATTTTTAATATCCGTTTATGCATGGCGGCCTTGGCGGGCAAAAATCCTCTGTGCTCTGGTGTACTGTATAGGTATAAAATATTCCGCAAGTCCCTCACCCACTTATCGGCACGAATCACCAGCCGTTTGGTTTCAATTCTCTGTTTAAGTACCTATTGTGTTGTCCATTTAATAATTAACCTATATATATTGCCATTATAATTATAGCCGTTGTCGTGATTGACGTGTATTACAAGAAATAGTTATAAGTTTATAACTATCAGCTATAACTATCATTGCTATAGATACTATAATTGTCGACACTCAGCAGTTTGACCGAACATTTGGATTTTTGGAATGAAGAAAAAAACTACAAAAAAATCTATTTATCTTCTTAGTTCTTATTGTTTTTAACGAATTAGATTAAATTATTTTACACAACAATTACAGACGTTTGTGCCACACTGGCGACGAACAACAATTTAAAAGAGATATACTAGAAACTCAACATAATATTATGATAATCGAATGGAGAAGGTCGCAGTATGTCGGCGGCAACAGGGTGTGGCGCACAAACATTTTACAATATTGTTATAAGTTATAACTTTTTCTATAGTTTGTAATGTTTATAATAGTAAAATGGATAGTGATAATCATAATTTATCGATTATATTTAAGTACCTATAGGCAGTGGCGTATTTGGGGGGAGGGAGGTGTCCACGGTGTCTGGACACCCCCCAAACCAAAAAAAATTCAATCTTTAATATTGATAAATTTTAAAGGGAATTAGACAAACAGAAATATGTGGTTCGTTATGAACTATTTTAATATTATATAAAGTCCTACACTAATTCGGAAAGAAAATAAATTTAGTTTAAAATAATGTACTTATTATCCTATTATATTTTTAATTATTTATAAAACTGTTATTCTTATAGCACCACTGATATCGAATGTAACAAACAAAATATATAGTAATAATTATTAAATTATTGTGACCGATGATGATAACTATATAGGTACTAATGTATATTAATATGTTTAAATAATATTATGTTATTAATTTATTATCATCCTATTACAATATACATGCAATTTATATTTTTATCTTGCGGCTCCGTGCCTTCATGTGTCTGTGTTACTAGTTTTTCCAGCCGGAATTTGTGTTGTGTTTATTTAGATATTAATATATTATACAATGATGTTTTTTTTGTTTTTTTTTATTAATACGTTGGATCTTAAATATCCATGTAGATTTATTTTAAACATATTATTTTTTATTAATTGAATTTGAATCATTTTTCATTTAATCGTCGTCGAAGAAACAAGGCACATAAAATATACATTGAAATAGTGATATTATCATATTCTTCGTCTTGAATTTATTATTTAAATTAATTTATATTATACTTTAAAGTGTATTTATTATTTTCTATTTTCTATTTTAAAAATTATTATTTGCTTTTATCTTTATTTTTAAATTAAAATTATGTTTACAGTATGTATTTTATACATGTATGATTTAAGTTACATAAAAATTACTACTTTTAATTAAATAAATAAAAAATGTTTCATTACAATATTTGAAGAGTATATTATGAACTTAGTGGTAGTTTATATGTTACGATCAAAGTGTATAAATTGGGCATTGTAATACAGTGCCCGGGCATTGTGCACAATGCTCGTCATATTTGGGCAAAGTTGAATCTGATTTTGATTTGAGAGAAATATTGCAACCAATTAACAAATAAGTATTTACCTATATTATCTAGACACCCCCCCTTCCCCCCCCCAAAAAAAAACATACAAAATACGCCATTGCCTATAGGTAAAATATATAATATGCCACCTAGGACAAATATTTAAGCATAATGTGTTATTTATTTATTTCATTTAGGTTACCTATATCATATCATATTTTGAAAATACCTACCTATTTTAATTGAAGTATAAAATATATTGAATTTTTTCAGTTCAATTTTAAGATGTTTTTCCATAAAAACTAGCTTATATGAGGTGTCATGATGAAAAAAATGCACTGTGCTAGTTGGGAACGTTGGAAATCAGCGTTAGTTATTTTTGACATTATTGCGAGAGATCCTAATTCCCAAGGTAAATGATATCATAGACTGAACAGATATGAATAGCGACTGTAAAGACGTTTCTAATATATTGTTTCCCTGTCTATTCATACAACAGTTTCCGACGTTGACCTATTATGTCTGGAATTCTATGAGCTGAGCGAAGCGGCCGCTATCAGTGGACACCTTGAGTGTCTTTAGTACTCACACGCCCGGCAAAAGCAAAGCGGTGTGTCAATACGCCGTGGCCAACGGTCTGTTGGATTGTCTAAGGTACGCACACGAGAACAGTTGTCGGTGGGAGTGTGGGACGAGTTGGCGTGTGATCTGTAGGCTAATGGCCATCCTCAACAGCTTACGTTACGCCTGTAACACTGGTCAGGACACTACATCTGGACAGTGCCGCATTAAGCCAAATTGCCGCCCCGGGGCAATATAAAATTTGCCGCCTCTATATATTTAAAAAAAATATCATATGATTTTCACCTCTCTTTTTTCGCTATCATAAACACAGCAGAATTATATTTTAATACGTTTCTCCGTTAGTTTTAAAATATTAAAGAGTTACCTAGTAAGTACTTAGTAACCTATATATACTTAATTTATACTTAATTTTTCTTTTTAAACATATTATTTATTAAATATTCATAATACAATTAATTAGAATTATAATTAAAAATTAAAAATAGTAAATTAAAATACATTTTTATTCAACTTATATTAATTTTTTTCTTGATTTCAAAACTGCAAATTTATGTATTATGTCCGACCAATCAATCTGTTGTAAAATATCGCTTTCTATATTTAATATGGATAATGATGACATCTTTTCATCAACTAAAGCAGACCTTAGATAATTTTTTATTCTTTTTAATACAGAAAATGACCGTTCTCCACTTGCATTGGATGAAGCCATACAACAAAATATTCGCAATACTATTTCTACCTACATTTGGAAATGTTGTCAAAAGGGCAGAATTTGTGAGGCATTTTAAAAGACTTATAAAAGATGATTTATCTTCTTTTGAAAACAAATTAAGAATATTTTTAAATTGTACCAGTTCTTCTATGAATGTCTCGTTTAAATCTTCAGGATATATTTTCACTAGGTTTTTAGCTTTTTCACGTATTCCGTTAGTATCCAATGTATCTAATTTTAATATAAATCCAAAATTATTATTTATATCAGTGTAGGACAGTTTTCTTTCACGTAAATTCACAACTAGCCTGTCAATAATAACATAGAATACTTCACATTTCATTTTTTGTTCTCCTTCCAATAATTCATCGTTACTTTCAGTTTCATCAAAAAACTTCTTTCTCTTTTTTTGTCTCACGCCATCCCAGGAAAATAATTGTTTTGAACACATCGTTTTTGCTTGTTCTAAGTACACATCAAATCTTTCTCTAAAGTCTTCCACATATTTTTCTAAAGATTCGTACAGTGTAACAACTGTGGCTAAGTCTATATCTATAGACTGTAAACTTATACTTGTTGCGTTAAATCTTTGAAGTATAGGTGTCCACATACAAATCATAAAACAAAAATTTAAACTCTCAATTTTATTTTTAATTGAACGAGCTTCGTGTCTTGTATCTTTTTTTTGTCCTTCGTCATCACAAATAGTAGTTAAAGCACTGAGTACTTGTGCATAACCATTAAACATTGCTTTACATACATCGTACCTGGATGACCAACGAGTTGAACATAGTTTTTTTATTTTGACACAACCTGGATTATTTTCGATAATATTAGTCAAAATATTCCATCTGAATGTTGAAACAGAAAAGAAATTATAGATTGCTTGACATATAAAAAAAAATGTTGTGCCTTCTTGAGTTGTATCTGCAGCATTGGAACCAATTAAATTCAAAGAATGTGCTGAACATGGCACAAAAAAGGCTGTCGACGAATAGTTTTTAATTCGAGTCTGTAATCCGTTATAAACACCAGACATATTAGACGCATTATCGTATGATTGGCCTCTACAAAACTTCAAATCTATATTAAGTTCACAAAATTTTTTAAGTAATGCTTGCTCCATGTCCGATCCTTTATGTCCAACGGAGGGAATAAAACCAAGAAAACGTTCCACCGGTGAACCTTCATTTGAAATATACCTTACGGCGACTGTGAGTTGATCTCGTGTTGTTACATCAGGAGTCGAGTCAACTATAAGTGAAAAATATTTTCTCTCTTTAATTTCGGACACAATTTTATCTATTACAGTATCACTCATTAAAGATATAAACTCATCACATATATTGGAAGATAAGTATGACACGTTCCCCTTTCCTTTATTTCCATAATTAGCTATATGTGCAGACAAAAAAGGATCGAATTTAGCCACTAGTTCCAGGCAACCAAGATAGTTTCCGTTTTGTTTTGAACCAAAGTTATGACTATTTCCTCTAAAAGCTAAGCCTCTAGATGCTAAAAAGGAAACAGTTTCAACGACTCTATATAAAACATTTTTCCAATAAGAAATTTCATTTTCAATATTTATTTTTAGTTCTAAGTCTATGACACCACGGTCTTTCTTGATTCTAGAAAACCAGATTCTAACTGATTCAGCATGAGTTTTACTAGTCTCATGTTCTTGTAGAGATTCATTACATTTTTTCCAGTTTATAAAACCTTCGTTTTTATTTCCGAAAACAGTTGGTTTAGGCGAGAAAAGCAAGCACTGGAAACAAAATAACGCGTTTTTTGAAGGAGAATATAAAACCCATTCTCTTAGTTTCTTTTCACCATTCTGAAGTTTTCTCATAAAATTATCAGGAGTTAGACGTCTACTTATATTACCAAACATTCGTTTTGTTTCTGCAAATGGTATAGTTGATAAATCTATCTTCGGAGGATTCGCAAGTAAGAAATCAATGGAATCTAAATTTAAGTTCCATTTTACTGGATCGGGTCCGGGAATTTGTGATTGGTCATTAAAATCATAAACAGTGATTTCTGCCTAAATAAAACGGAAACATTTTTGTTTTAAAACTGTGACTCGTGAGACATAGATGTCAGATATTTGATTTAATAGATAGTCTTATAAAAGATATAGCAATAGAAGCTCTTAACATAATATTTTATGAGTGAAAAAATATTATAAATAAAATAATATAATATTATTATTAGGTATTTAAAAAAATCTGACTATCCGTATTTAGAAGTAAATTTTATTAAGTATATTTTTTATATCTATACCTGTAGACTATGTGGCTGCGTAATAATTTCCGTAACTTTCGTATCATCGGTTGTATTCAATGGTATTTCAATTTTAGAAATATCAGTTGGTAAACACGTTTTAGATTGAGAATATTCCTCTGTGGGAATCGATTCCGGCTATAACCAATGAAAATATTTAGATAAGTTCATATCTGATTTAAAAAAAATAATTTATACAAAAATAAATACTTACACTTCTTACAATTCTAGTAGGGAAAAAAGAATGAACTTTTGGAATTTTCTGAAGTAGTTCTTCGTTATTTTTCTTTTTTTCTTTTGCTGCTTTTTGGTAAGCTGCACCACTTAATTTAATTCGCTTACCAGACATAGTATAATATAGTATTCAATAACATAAATTTAACAAACACAACACTGTTGTCTACCGAAATTGCGTCGAGACTGTGGTCGTCGACAGACGACAGTCGATGATAAGATTACTAAAATGATCGTCAAATACGTATTTTTGCGATTATTATTAGATCATACAGCCCGCATAGCCCGCAACTGCAAACAGGCGACAGCTCTTCGATGTGATTGAGTCACTCGCCGAAAATTAAAAGCTATAGATAACACAGACACACAACTGTGATGTATTTAGTTATTATTGAATCGTTGATAGATAAAATTATTACTGGTATTAATATTTTTAATATAATAATAATTATTTTAAAAATTTAATACGAAATTCGTAACGGAGAACGTACAATATTATAATATGATATATTTTCTAAAAATCTGCCGCCCCCCAAATCACCTTAAAATTGCCGCCCCGGGGCAATTGCCCCCCCCCCTTGCCCCCCGTTAAATGCGGCTCTGCATCTGGACGTCACCTCAACTGTTTGACGGTAGTCCGTTGTCGGAACAGACGTGTACAGATGCTGTATTCAACAGTAACCTTGTCTGTCACTAACAACTGTTGTCCACAGACTACAAGACGTGCGAGTTAGCCGCAGCTTTAGGGCACGTCCACCTCCTACATAATGCACTCAACAACGATAATCTGTGAGGTGTGTAGCCGCATCTTCCGCTTACCCATCGTATTATTATTATTCCACAAGTAATAAACAGTCATAAACTTAAAACATGACCCATACAATATATATTTATAATTTTTTAGGAAGATTTGTCAATTATTTATTTCATATGTCCCCGCCATCACCTCATCATTGTCAAAAATGTGCCACTTAGAAGACGGTTGTCTGTACGGACCACAGAATTCCAGTATTGAAACCTCCAAGACGAAACACTATCTGATGACAAACTAATTTCAGAAACGTTTTTATTCGTTTTATTCTTGTAATGGAGGTATGATTAGAAATTAAATGTTAAATAAAAACTAGCACATTTAAAAACAATTTTTATATTTAATTATTGTAATAAGGTTGCAAAATATCCAAGTAAAATCCAAATCTACTTTGTTTTCTCATAGTATGATAAAAAGGTGTTCAATTAATTTTACATGCCTGTCAGCTGAAGTCGACGGGCTACTCTTTTGAATTCTTCCTTGCATAAATATGGCACTGGTTACGATATAACACTCATAATAATATATTATGCAGTATTATACTTATACAGTATAGATCGATTGTATTAAAAGTCTTTTCGAAAGTCTTTACTTATACATTATGGAATACAATTTAAATTTAAAAAAAAATTCAAATGTCTATCATCTATAATAATTACAGCTCAAAAAGAGTCAAACTCTGTTTTGAATAAAGTTATTGGTAGATAATGCTAAACATTAGGTTTTAATAATATTATTAACCTGTTTATTTTTTACTTATTTTTAACATAGATAATAGTATATTCGTTATTATTGAAATGTTAATTAAGAAAAATGATGTTTTGTAATCTATGTGTTAAATTTGAATAATAAGTCAATAACTAATCATTACATACAATAAACGGATTTAAATTGAGAGAGTCTATCAATCAATACAATTAGCTAAGTTTATTTTATTATGTACGGGAACATAGGGAAAGACCGATTAGTAAAGTAAATATCTTTATATTAAACGTAATTGAAATAGTTCATTTTTAATTATATGATTACACCATAGGTGTATCTAAAATCTTATTATGACATTTCATACCAACATCTTTTATGTTTTATCGACATTTTTTTTTTTTTGACACTTTTTATAAATGTCTAAAATTGTCGATACTAAGGAAAAATCGTGTTCAAATAGGGTAAAAACAATTTAGTATAATAATACTAGGTTACGACAAAAATAAATTATTTACAACAAATTGCATATCTCAAAAAATTTAAAATTATTAAAAACAAAACAATTTGCATTTAAATGATGACTGTTCAATTCAGTACTAAAGTTTTTACTTTTTTTATACATGGATCATGGATGTACTTAAATTATTAATAAAACATATTAAAACACTCTTGAAAATTAAAATTTAAAATAAACAATACCTTTTGTTCAGTTTTATTCTAATTTTAGTTTTAAATTTGATGACAATTTCAGAATTTAGGTTTTTTAAATATTTTCTTCTTCTCCAGAGCATTACAGGTGTGCCCACTGAGTAAATTTTTAGCGGCAGTTCTAATTTTTATTTGACTCTAGGTAAGTGTAACTGCAGTACAAACAATTAGTGGTGTCTTCAGTATCGCTTAAAATACAGCTTATCTTAAGGTTTTTTTGTTTTTGGACTGTTTTATACTTTTGTTTCTAGAATAAAATAAATAAATATGTTTATTAGGTAAGATTTTATTCATGGAGAACATATATAAAGCTAAATGGGCAAAACCGATAATGTTGTCAAAATTGACATCTAAATTACATTTTTTTTTTTTGATAAAACCTGATCTTTGAGTTTTAGGTGCAAATTTCATGGTTTTTACATCAGTATGGTTAATTAGGTGAAAATGGAAACATTTTTTTTTTTTGAATGTATTGTTTTAATATTAATTATTGTTTGTCATTTATTTATAACGTTAAACACAAGTAAAATAATATTAAACATCAAAATTGTGTAATGCTTAAATAGCTGAAAATAATATAATAATAATAAAAAAATCAGTACATTTACTTAAACATTTAATATACTCGTAAATCGTAATAATATTATATACCTAGTTGATTGCATTTTGAGTCACACAAAAAAAATTGGTTTTTTTTGAAAATTGGATTCACATAATTTCAGTAACAAAAATTTAATTCCTGATAATTTAAAAAAAAACTGGAAATTTTACTACCCCTCCCTCAAAATATACAAGGATACCGAAACCAATCTGCAAGTTGAAAACCCAAACATTTTTTTTTCACTAACAACTATTAAATTCATACTTAGTTATTGTATGTACAGTATAGTTGTATTTAGCTAAGTACCTAATTACCATTTCCATTAGAATTTGACTTACTTTTCTCTAGGTAAACAATTTTAGTTGTACTGCTAAATTTGAAAATCAGTCTTGAACATTCAATCGTTAAAATGGCAATAAATTTTATAATTTATACTATATTTTACTGTCTTAACATATTTAGATTGAGATTGTCCATTTTGTTTTCTTTTAAACTTGAATTTCAATGAATAGTATTATTTTAAATTATTCAATTATAACAGTCAAATCACAGATATATAAGATTATAATATCATATAAAAATTGGATCAACAAATACAAATGTATTTTTTTTATTAATTCAATACACTGGTATCTTATAACTTTTTTAATAAATATGGAATAAAAAATGTTTCTGTACCATATTTTATTCTTCAAAAAGAATTATGAATTAATTTTGTTTCTAAGCAAGTAATAATAATTGTAACTATAATGTGTAACAAATCATGTAATTTGATTTATTTTTATTTCATAATTTCATAACTTATTTTGATGAAATGTGAAAGATCAAGTTGGACTATTTCTACTTCTGTAAAAATTCTTAACATTGATTATATTTAAGAGGATGTCAGCGCACCATTTGTTTTCTCTTTTTGGCCCACGCGTGATATGCATAAACTACATTTACGCAGAATCATTTTTTCTGTGTTTGTAAATAATCTTAGAGTAAAATATAATATTTTTGAGGGAATGTCATATTGATTTTATATTTTATTGGAATTTGACTTTGTATTCGACTTTCAAAATAAACAAAAAAATGTTGTACATTTAAATGATGTTTAAATTGTTTTGAGAAAATGTTTAGACAAATCGATATGTCATTCCCTCAAAAATATTGTTCCCTATCTTTTTTGTAATGGGTGATTTTACTCTAAGATTACTTAAAAACATAGAAAATGATTCTGCGTAAATCCGTTTTGTCTATGTTGCGCGAGGACCAAAGAGAGAAAACAAATAGTGCGCTGACATCCTCTTAACTGATTATATTTAATTGTAATAAAATTACTATTACTTGTAGTCAGGTACTCAGGTTATGGAGTAAAGTTGTATGTACATTGTGTAATAAACATTAATTTTTTTAAATCTGAATATTTAATTTTTAGGTATAATATTTTGTTGTAGGTAACATTAATTATGTTATTAATTATTGTATGTTTTAATTTGCATAAAAAGAAGTGAGCTATAGTATAGTTTTGTTACAAATAAGTCTAATACTAGTACTTTTCCATTTAGACATTTAAATAAAACTTGACTACCTTAGGCATTTTTTTTTTTTATAACAAACTTAATTGTTTATAATTCTTTACATATATGATTTGATTACAGAAATGCGAGTAAAGTATTTTAGTAAAAATATGCAGATATATTTTCAGGTGTTAAATAATAATACTTTTGTATATAATATGTCCATTTAAAAATATGGTACGTCATATAATGCCAGACACCAGTATCTCTAAGTTAATACTTACCTATATCACAACTTATGATGCATTAATTTTCACTGTTTTTTTTTACTTTTTTTCTGAAGTCCCATACGACTATATTATGAGTCATTGCACACGGGATGATTTTATACATCTACGTCACTGCCGTAGCCCTTAGTAGATAGCACTGACATAAATTGTATGATAATTAGGCATTTATAATTTATTGCGTTCTATATTAAATACGTTTAGAATCTAGGATTTGGCACGCACCCTGAGTGAGCTTTTTTACTTGTTTTTATAATTTTATTTGGTACCTATATAAATGTCTACGAGTTTAATATGAAATATCATTAGTCAGTAATTGTGTATCGTTTAAACCATAAACTAACAGAACTATACAAAGTTTTTTCATAATTATTTTAGATGGAAATTGTAACGCCACGGAATTTTGAGCCTATTTTATTAAAAATACTACTTATCATCATACTCCCCAAATCCAATGAATCATTAATATTGTGTTTATAATTTATATTGTCATGCACGCGTATTATTATTATGTAAACCACATTGTTATGCAATATATGACCCCCAACCATCACACAAAGCAGTTTCCACCGCGTTGATGTCGCACTAGCTACTATAGACCGGCAAGGGCAGTACATTTTCGGCCCGGCCCTAAAGTAGTTCTAACCACAAAAAAAGCCCGGCCCGGTCCACACATTTTATCCTCAAGCCCGGCCCGACATATTTTTTTGACGCTAGTGCATGAGGTTTTGTTAAAAAAAAGTCCAATCCAGTCTGAGGTTTTTTTTGTAAGACTGTTTTAAAAATGTAAAATTTCCACACGAAATATTTTAATGATAATAATAATGATAACTGGCGTTATTTTTTAAATTATAATTATTTATTGTCCAAGAAAAATCCTTAAAAATCCTTGATTTATTATTCGAAGTCTGGCCCGACCCGATCCGACAACTTGTACCAAACAATAGCCTTGGCCCTGTCCGGAATATAATTCCAAGGCTTAAAAAGCCCGGTCCAACCCTTTATTTCATTTTGAAGGCCCGAACCGGTCCAATGTTACTACGGGCCGGGCTTTTTGAGGACTAGGTCGTGCCGGCCTGGCCCTTGCAGGTTTTTACAGTAGTTACCCGCTGCCACCGTTGAGCATCGTTGTAGCGACCACCACTAGTGAGTACCGACAGGACAACCTGTTCCCCAAAATGTAAAGAATGTACCTACAAAAGTACGACTTGACGACACTAACCTGCCCACTCCAACGACAGTCTACACCCCCACGGCCGACGACCAGACACCGACGCCAACTTTATCATGAAAGGAAGGAGTAGAGATTTGTCCACGATTATTTACGTAAGCCTAAACGCTCAGTGTATCATGGAATGGTAATTAAATCAAACAAATAAAAAAAAACCCCTCTGAAAATCATCAACATTTTGGTGTCAAGGTGGCTATGCAGTAAGTTGAACGACTATAGTAAACCCAAAAAGATTAGTATATTACGCATTATTATTTCATAATGCTTATTGGAATATATTACTTATTACCGATCTTTGTACTACGAGATTATTGTTATTATTATATTACATTATTATTAATTTTACTTTTAATTATATGCAATTTGATTCTCACATACTGTAAAAGCTTTCTTTCCTCTATGAAATTATATTGTAACTGTTATATTTGTACATACTTTTTGTAAATGGAGTTTTT